TCTTCAGAAAGTAGGGCATCTACAGGTGATTTATTAATGGATGAAAAGACAGAAAAGCACCACCTCTCGCATATCTGTTATCATTCATGGATATTATATGGACATTATTTTTAAAATGAAATACTAGCTATGTGTGATGGCACATGCCTGCAATTCTAGCACGTGGGCTTAGGCATGAGGAATGCTGGAAGTTCAAGTACAGCCTGTCCTACATTGTGAGTTTGAACTATAAAGTGAGATGCTGTCTACTCACTTATTATTTTCCTCCCTATATTTGCACTGTTAAAATAATTTTCTCAAAAAAGATTTGCTCTTATTTTGTTTGGTATTTTTATCTTGAGTTAGCTATGCTGCAGTTTTTTGAGTTTTGTGTTTATTGGTCTTCACTCCCTATACAAATTTTTTACTGTGTACAAAGCAGCAAATATTTTCATGTTTAATTACTGTGATGTTTGTATATTTCAACTTATCCTTCTAATTCTGATTGTTAGTTGATTTTCTTCTAAGGAAACAGGTTTTTTTTAACATCTAAAACATATTTCACTATGTATTCTCAAGGAATTCAAATTTATCTTTCTCATTCCAGTCAGTAAGTTACTTATTGTACATAGAAGAGTATGTGCTCCATGTTTCCAAAGTACATACCTGTTTCTCTCTAAACATAACCGAAACATTTTGATTTCCTCTACAGACACATAACATCAGCTGTATCCTGAAACAATATATATGTGGACCCACTGAAAACTGCCTTCCTTTCCTGAGATGCATTTGCCATTATCATTAATAATAACACAGTCTCATGAAAGGCAGAATTTTAATTTTTTCATGTATGTTATGGAAGGTATTGGCCTTATTAACTAAAAGGCATTAAATGTAGATTTTTATTATACTGTACAGCTATAAATTTTTGGCTAATCAAAGGTCTCCTTCATAAATGAAAATTATTTTTGAAGCTGTTATTTTTTGAGGGAGTTTTGAGTCAGGGCCTCACATCGTATTTCCTTTGAATTTACTGTGTAGCCAGCCAGGGCTGGCCTTAAACTCCTTGGCAATCCTGCATCCACCTCCCAAGCGCTGGGATTACAGGCATTTACCACCACACCTCACTGAAGGTTTGCTTCTGTGTCTAATTACTTTGTGATATATTGGTTTTCAGTGCATAAATTTTATTCATCTCTTTTCTGTCATTACTGTACCATACCCCACTAGAATTTATTTTATTATTTATTTTTAAAGAGAATAAAAGTATTTAAAAAGAAATTGAAAAAGGGTATACAAAATTTAAATTTCTAAAAGTCCTTTTAAAAAACACTATTAGTGTACAAAAATAAAGGGAAATACGTGCAACAAATATTACTAATGGCCGACTACCACCTTTTACAAATCAAAGCAAAAAAATACTGGAAGAAAAACACAAATGGGCTATAACTATATGAAATTCCTCAACACAGGAATAAAAAAACTTAAGATACAATTTTATCTAATAGTCTGACAAATATTTTAATACTTTCTCAAGCCCAACTTCCTTAATATTTGAGAGTACAGAGAAACACAAGCACATACATATTATTGGTAGAAGTGAAAACAGTAGTCCTCTGAATTTGACAACTAAAAACCAATTTTAAAGTACATGTTTGCTTAAACCATGTTGGCAGTAAGATAAAATGAGACAGGACCTAAACGTCTAAGAACAAGGAAGGGGCAAATAATTTAGAATTAGGACATCCACACAATTCAACAAAATGCAGCATTTAATGCCTAAGAAGTATTAAAACACGTATAGAATGTTAGTATATTGTCATCTGTGTAAATAAAAACAAAGGCTATAAAAAAAAATGGTCGTATAGTTACAATTTTAGGAACGATAACCAGAAATTTACCTTTTCTTTTTCTTGTGCGCAGGAATAAAATAAAGAGAAGCATTTTTTTGGTAATTTTAAAATGAAACAAATTCATGGAGTTATACCATAGTCTTTAAAAATAAACAACAGTTTAAATACCCAATTGACATCAGCTTTTGACTGAAACAGTTACATCTAACATACTGTGAATACCTACTATATGCCAAATTCTGCAGCTAGGGCTGGAAAGTAACCAAGACAGTACACTGGCTTCAGGGTGTGGTAGTGCATGCCTGTAATCCCAGCACTCTGAAGGCTAAGGCAGGAAGATCACCTTAAGTTTGAGGCAAGCCCAGACTACACAGAATATTCAGGAGCAGCCCAAACTACAAAGCAAGACCCTGTCTCAAAATAAACAAAGAAAAAGCAAAACAATGAACAAAAAGAAGGTTCAAAAACTTGGTTCAGAAACTTCATTCTTCCCATGATTCTGATCACTAACTGAACTAGATGAGAACCAAATCAAATTTCCCCAATAATGCCAAGAGTAAACCTAATCAGGTAATTTTTGCTTTGGTTCTCATACTATTTGGTTTGTGACCAGAATTGTGGGAAAGAATTGAACTTGTGAACCAAGGTACCACTGTAACTACTAAACGGTAGTAATCCAAACATTCAATGTTGTTTCTACAAATGTTTTATAAATGATTTTTATTTTTTACGAAGTGAAGGAGTACTATTTTTCCTCTGACCACTTATTCCCAATCCCTTTACATTAGAGAATAAATTCTCCAAGGAAATACCTTATTCCCTGAAATTCCTTTACCTAATTTATCACATATCTAAACAACATGACTTTGGTAAATTAGCAATGATGTCTTAAACTAAAATAGAAGTTAATTGGCTAATAATAAAACAGACTTAAGGGTGCCATGGGAAAAAATTCAACATTAACCTTTGTCTTCACAGATGGAGTGATACAGATTAAAAGTACATATTTAAGGGTAAAATAGCAAAAAATACCTATATTATAAACATAATACTTTTTTATTTAACTGAAGTACATATGTAAATTTCATTCTGTAAAGTTCACTGCACTTATTTTGAGAGGCTTTTTATTTTAAAGACAATAAATATAAGATATTGCATTCATTTATATTTTATAACTTCCTTAAAATATATAATATGAAGCCTGTAAACACACAAAACAAAGAACAAACTGAAAGTCAAAAAACTTCAGAAACGTAAGTGCTTGTATTTTTCCTATCACTTCACTATATCTAAAAACCACCACTGAGATTCTGCTGCCTTGTTCACCTTTTTATCTTGTGTATCAATGAAAAGTCCCACTAGTCACTTTGACATCTTTCAATTAGCTGTAATTTCTACCCATTCCTTTAACTATACAGCATGAAAGTTCTGTATACAAATACAGCAATCACAAAAAAATTTACACTGAAGTAACACTGTGCCCCCCCGACAGATGCAATGAAAATGTTTATTAAAATTTTTCTTCAAATAAGACACAAACTATTAGTATAGCTCATAATTCAAGAAAGCATCACTATATTTAAAACTACAGAAAATAGCATGGTAGTCTAGGAACACTAGTACTTAGGAGACAATAAAGGTAATATATTTTCTTCCTGTTTTGACATCAATCATTAACATATTATTTTTCAAGAGTCCAACACTACAGTTAATATACACTGACATATGTATAACAAGACACTTTAAGATCATACATTATATTTCCATCCACTATTCTGTCTCAACATGAATAATGATCTTGTTTATCTCAAAAGACCAAAATTTCCCAAACATTATCCTGGATACATTTCAAAACACACTATAGCCTACCACATGCTAAAGTAAATATTGAACTTTTTAAGTTCAAAAATATTTATTTAAAATTGTCCCTAGAATTGTAAATAGTATAGCTTAATGTTTTGAAAAAATTTGTTTTTACAGCTTGATACTGAATTAAGCTTCTGTTTTCAAACTTTGAATATGTGAAATGTATAAAAAGTGATGGAAAATTCTGCAAGATTTTCCTTAAATGTGTAACATAAATGAGATTCAAAGAGGAAAAAATCTAAAGTATATCCCTTATATCTAAAAGGAAAATAAATTCTATTACAAAATGTGATTTCTCTTTGGATGGGTGAATAAAATTTAAATTTTTATTTAGCATACTCAATGTTAGATTTTAACTACAACAGTTCTCTTAACTAATATCCATTTAACTGTCCTACCTCAGCCGATACTTTTGTTTTTAGCCTTTAGTAAATGTAAATACTGTATGCCCATGGCATGCTACCCACTCATAACTAACATCCACAGTCATTTAAAAATTGTTTTACTTTGACATAAGGTCATGCCAAGTCAATAAATTGTCCAGGCTGGGCTTGAATTTACGATTCTCCTGCTTCAGCCTCCCAGAATGCTGGGACTATGGGTATGAGCCACTACATACAGCCATAATCAGTAATGAATTACATGCTAAACAAGTCAGTTATCATTCCTAAACCTGTTTATGCCAGTTCACTTTTTATATTCCTTACATAACTGAACTGTATTATTTAAGTTTATGGACTACAGTATGAAAAGTTAAGTTATTCTTTTTAAAAAGTTATTACATTAGATAAAGATAATGTAACTGCAAAATATTAGGGAGCACATAAAAAAGCCAGAAAGCACCCAGAATCAGAGTTTTCAAAAGTACCTTTAAACTCTTAATCAAATTTAGGGGAATCAAAACTGGAAACTATAAATCATACATAATGGACATAGTTAACACAGTGTCATGTGTCACAAAAGATGGCAATTGCTCAACATGAAAAATTTGACAAATGACTATATATTTTACATATGTTCACTTAAAATTTTTAAATAAGATGTAAATTTCCTACGATTTTCGTGATTTAACTTTTTCTATAACTTATCAAGTAATGGCCCCAATTTCACTAGATATGAAATACTACACACCTATGTAAAATACTACTATGTAGAAATAAGCACGCCAAAATAACTTGATGAAAAAGTATTAGAATATATGCCCACAAAAGCAAGAATCTTCACTTTATTCACCGATATATTCAGTTCCTGCTCTACTGGTGATGCTCAAGGACCCTTGCTGGATGAGAAACAGGAGCTTACCGTGATCACAGCCTTGCTGAGACAGATGGATCCCCTGCAGCCGTACTCCGTCTCGTCTTCAGATTTGTAGTAGCTCAGAGTATTATTTTTCAGAACTACCCAACGATCCTGCCAACCGTGAATGTAGTTTGTCCACTGGGGGTTGGGGGGTAGAGAGGAAAAAAACCAAAAACACAAAGTCAGAAATCCAAACTTTTAAAACTCAAACTGTGAGAAGTTCTAACTTAGTTACATATATTTGGTACAGGGTCTCTACGCAGCTTGGACTCATAGTGATTCTCCTGTTTCAGCCTCCCCAGTGCTGGGATTACATGTGTGTGCCACCATGCCCAGTCTTGGTGGCCAGCTTGGCGCACCTGGGCTGGGGCAGCACATGCGGTCCTGGGATTGAACCAGGGTTTGTGGGCTTGCCTAGGTACATGTTTAGACTGCTGAACTATCTCCACGGTCCTCTAACTTAGTTATAAATATGAACGATAAAATGATAACATGAAAAGCTGAGAATTCTGACACTATACAATGATTTTCAGTAATTTTTACAATATTTTAAATAGACAACAAATAAAATGCAACACTTTATGGCTAACACTTCAAAAATCAAACTAAGGCAGGATTCTGATGAGAAGTTTTGCTTCATTCTTTATATGTTTTACCCTCCCTCCTCACCACCTTTGGGGCATTTCAATTGTTCTGATCCTTGTCATAATAAACATATTCAACAGAAAATTAAGTCCATTTCTATTGTCTCTCTCACACCAGGCACTGTACCATGGCTTTGAAATCAACAGAAGTATGTGGCCAATCACTGTCAAAATTATGTTTTAGAAATGAATGGAGAGTATTTCCTTTGGTGAGGTAGTGTTAGCGAATGTGGGAGTCCTGAGCTCTCACCTGGGGCCACTGGCGGCGGCAGCTCGAGGAAGGAGTGTGGAGAGCGTAGGCTATACATAGGAAAAAAACATGGAGGCAGATATAATTGCAGATCTTCGAAACAAGCTTAAAGAGGTTGAAAAGGAGCGGCTAACGGCTGCACAGTATGGTTTACAGCTGCTAGAGTGCCAGACTGAACTGCAGAATCAGTTGGATGAACATCGTAATGAAATGATGACCATGACTGAGAATTATAAACAAGAAAAATATGCTCTTCAGAGAGAGGTTGAACTCAAGAGTCGAATGTTAGAAAGTCTGAACTGTGAATGTGAAGCTATTAAACAACAACACAAAGTGCAGCTGGAACAACTAGAAGAGCAGTTGAATAGAAGCCATGGACAAGAAAGGAATGAACTAAAAAATAAGTTAGAAAAGCTGAAAGTGGAGTTAGATGAAGCAAGGCTTAGTGAAAAGCAGCTGAAGCATAAATTAGATCACCAGAAAGAACTCCTGGCTCAGAAATCAGAGGAAATACGGATAGTGTCTGAGCGTGTTCATGGGACCTTGTCTTCGGAGATGGTGGCTCTTCAGGTTGAGCTGACTGAAATGGAAAGTATGAAGACCATCCTCCAGGAAGAAGTAAATGAACTACAATACAGACAGGAACAACTAGAAAGTTTCAGTAATAACTTAATGCGCCAGGTAGTCCAACTTAAAGAAGATAAAGAAGAGCGGGAAAAAGAAGCAGTTTCTTACTACAGTGCCTTAAAGAATTTGGTGGAATCTAAGCCTTCCATGCCAGGCAACTCTGGTCTAGAAGACAAAACCTACTATACAGATTTACTTCAGCTAAAACTTGATAACTTAAACAAAGACAATGAAAGCACCAAAGGTGAGCTGTCCATACAGCGAATGAAAGCGTTGTTTGAGAGCCAGCGGGCCCTGGATATTGAGCAAAAACTTTTTGCAAGTGAAAGACGCCTTCAGCTCGTAGAAAGTGAAAATATGAAGCTAAGAGCTAAAATTGATGAACTGAAGCTGAAGTATGAACCTGAAGAGAAAACTGAAGTGCCTGTGCTCAAAAAGCGGCGTGAGGTGCTCCCTTTGGATGTAACTGCCCCTACAGAGGTAGGTGCCAGCAGTGCTGAGGAGGCAGCTTCAAGATTCCCACTTCAGAAAGAGGAGGCACAGTCCTGTCCTAATAATTTACAGGATACCAACTTGCAAGAAGAACCGATTTCTACAAACACACCCATAGCCGCTATCTCTCCTTGCAAAAATCTCCCAGTGGATCTGCCTCCAGAGAAAGAAAAAAAGTGTGTGAAGCTTGTAGATGATCCAGCAGATACTGAGGCCTTATGTGAAAGAAGTGGAAATGTCCCCTGTGCTGCCAGGTTAATTGCTGAACCACAGCTTCAGATGGAAGCTAAAGAAGGGAACGAAGCTGCGAGCAAGCTGGGAAAGGAGCCTGCGAAGAAGCCGCACCCTATTCTATACGTGTCCTCCAAGTCAGCTCCAGAGACTCAGTGTCCTCAGCAGTAGACTGCTCTTTCACTACTGGCCCCAAAGTCGCCTATGAAGCTTAGTTGAGACTGTCATCTGAGGAAGCCTCCTTGTGGATTGACTGTACCGCCCCATTTTTCTGGGTCCTGGTGCTTTCGGGATTCTGTGACTGAGTGCTGAAAATGTAGTCTACCCTAAAGAAATTAAGCTGCTGACCCCGCATGGAGCATCTAGGAGTCCCAGTGAGTAACCTGTTAATGGAAGAAAATGTTATAATTAATGTAAATCTTTTGGCTGCTTTGTTATCTGGATTTGTAAAGTGATGCAAACACTTAACCTCCATTTGAAGCCATATATTTGAAAAGAAAACTTTGAAATTATTATATTTTCCTATGTACTTTTTAGTTTTTCACTGTTGTAAAAATAGGCAATTTGAGTTTTTGTTTTGATTTTGGGGTTTTCTTTAATTTAATTTAAAAATACATATTGTGGCAGGATTTTGGCCATGTTTAAGGCACCTGTATTCACTTTTGTATTAATATACGTGATTTTGAGTTTGTATCAAGCATATAAAACAAATTAAAATTTTAAATTTGCAATAAAAAAAAATTATGTTTTAAGTCACCCTCATATGAAAATTTATGGCAGTCATAATTTCCTCAAAGTAAAAAAAAAAAAAAAACTATGTGAAAATCTTTAGTCCACATCAACTGTCAAATTCTTCCCCTATAGAACTCAATATTATTTAAAATGTTCAGTTCACTTTCCAAGTTTCTATGAGGATATACTTTCCAATTCTGGGGTAATAATACAAATATAAAACTGGTATAAAAAATACTAGAGTTTTTCTGTAATACTGTAACTAAAAGTGATTTTTGTGTTGCTAAAATATTTATGCAGAGATCACAATCAATAAAATGGCAAAGGAAAAAATGAAATTTCTATGAGAAAAATTACTTTGCATATTTTTCTTTATGCTCTGGGGTTTTAAGTATTAATAATTCCAAAAAAGTATCTACCAATTCTAAAAACTAATTCCAAATTGATCTGTTTCAATATAATAAACTGGCTCAGGTTTTTCACCTATGGAGAAATCTCTCTCTTCCTATTCCCTAACATCTTCAAAGTTCCATTTTTACGACCCTAAAAGCTCATCTACCTACACAACTGAACTCATTCTTCTCTAAGGGATCCCTAATCACTGTCCCTCCCCCTCCTTTTTTTTTACTGCTTGCAAATTACCATCACTTAGATATTCACATAGTACATATTAATCAAAACTCAACTCTCCTTCTGTGAGGTGTACGTCCACCCTGTTCCTGTACACAATTCTGCAGTTAGGCAAAACCTGATTTAGGGTTACAGTGCATTACACGAACAGAATAGTAGATACAAGATGAAATAAACTCAACTACTATACTACTTATGTGAGAAGAGATTTGACAAGTTAATTTCTGTGAGCTTGTTTGATGGCTGAATAAAATAATGAAAATGCTTAGTCATAGAAGATAATCTCTGTTCCTTCTCATTCCTTATAGCTCATCTCCAAATTTCATTAATCTTTCCTTCATATTAATCCTTAAAATATAAACCTACTTATGATATTTACAGTAGCACAGTTCATAATAGCTTGGAAGCAGCCAGTATAAATATAGGAAGTATAACACTTATACACAATGGAGTACTACTGTGCCATAAAGAAGGATAAACTTATAAGCAAACAGATACACCATGAGACTATAATGTTAAGTGAAACAAATCAGACATAGGAAGCTAAATAGCACATGGTTTCTCTTATATGAGAAACCCAAAATATCAATACTGTAAAGAGAAAATAAAAGATAATAGGAAGTAGGGAGATGGATCTTTCTCAAATGGAAACAGAATAAACAGATGCAAGGCAAGGGGAAGGGAAAGAATTGAGATTTGTTATGTACAGTTACCAACACCCAATGAGAAACATAATCATTATCTACCCCAAACATGTACTAAGAAAGAGGAAAAAATAAACCCTTACATTTGCCTTGTGTTCCAAATATTCAATTATTCAGTGAAACTAGCAAGCTTCTTGATTCCCAAGAAGGTCTAATAACTTTGTCCAGCAGCTTCTGCTTCTTTATAAATTATATAAACATATTTATGTATTAGGGATACTTACTTGCACATATGCCTATATATTAATTTTATTGGGATGCCAGCTCAATTTATAAGGACAGCTTCTCATTGCCTATTTCACCAGTAGGTTAGATTGGCATTTAAAATCCTCCATGGATTTATTCTTTCTTGCTTATCATTAATAACCCTAAGATTGAACAGATTAAATTTACTTCTAGCACACAGCACTTGTACTTTAGCTAACGAAATTGCCAACGTGTCTTGTTGGAACAGACTCCATCCCAAGTGACCAGAGGGTCCCTAGCACTTATGTTCCTATGATTTACATTATTTCCTTGTAGAGGAATCCACCAATTATATGTTTCAGGACTCCTTATTCAGAAAATATGAGCTACTATTATGACACCTGGAAGACAGGTTATTGCTTTTGCTCTCATGTTCATTCCCTAACTTCCCATTAAAAACCCCAGACAAGTCAATATTCTAAACACTACATGAGAATTCAAAATTCCTGTAGCCTACAGTCCAACAAGTGCAATTCAAGAAAAAACAAAAAAGAGGTACATTTAAAATGAGAGTCAGAAGCAAGTTTAAAACACTATGGGAAGTAAAGGGAAGAATACCTTCAATGACTGTCAAAGGAAAAGCTTTATGGAAAGGGCAGCATTGACAAGGACTCAGAATTTTAGGTAACAAGAACAGAGACGTAAACGGGAGGAATTCTGAAAAAGATGGAGGGATTCAGATAAAAAGTTTAGTTTACTAAGCTTTGAAGCCCCAAGGCATAAGCCTTTTTCCAACAATGTTTTATCCTGATACTTGTTATAAAATACCTAAAATTACTACTACCCAGTATTTCTGGAAACTTTCATAGGTATTTCAGATTGTTATACAAAAGAGAAAAACTCTGGACTGGCACATCCTTAATATGAATTTATGCCCCTCCTGTTCCAGATCCATTCCATTTTAGGGGAAAACACATTAGTATTTGGTCTTACATTACTCCACAGAAGGAAAGAAACAGATGCTGTGTTGTAACTGTTGTTTCCCTATCAGGTACAGTTAAAAACACATTTCCTAACATCCCCATCTATCTATCACATAGTCAACATGTTCAATACAGAGTCCTAAATTGTAAACTACATTTGATCTAAAGAAACCCTGGGCAGATTCTACCCACACACAATTTGTCAGCTATAGTAAAATTAAGCCTTACGTTTGACATACTCATGCCTTTTCTAGACCATCTCTCATAGAACTTTAAAGCCTAATGCGAAACAATTCCACAAATGATGTCCAAATGACTTTAAGATGGAAGAATTATTTCTTAATAGCCAGTTGTTGCACATGATCCGGTATCTTATGACCAGCTTGTTGAGGGACTAGCCTTAGCTCCCCCTTTCCAAGTTAACTGCTGGCTCCAGCCATTTCTAAAAGTTTCACAGGAAAGGAGAAGGAAGTCAAAAACTGAGTCTACTCATAGCAAAAACTAAAAACAAAAAACCCATTATCAAGAGATCACTCAATTTCAGTCCTGTAAATGACTATTTACTTTGCTAAAATGTTTTAAGTTTTTAAGAATACAAAAAAAAAAAAGGTTTTGCCTGACTTTGAGCCCCTTTACTGCAAAATAAATAATTGTATTAAATAACGTTTTTCTTCCTGGACTAAAGGTTGGTCTCCATTCTGACAAATTCCAAATTACTACTAATATGTTTTATACCCACTGAATCATGTGCCAATTAATAGCTCTTTTCCGAAACCGGGTAAGGCGTGAGGGGAAATTACAGAAGTCCTCCACACCGCCGATTACTACCATCTCAAATTTCAGGTCCAAACCAAGTCAACTGGCTCGTCTACACAGCCGCCAGCAGGGTCCCCCACAGCTATTGGGCACCTCCAGACTGTAGTTAGAAAGGTCAGATGTGAACCGCCCTCTGGTCGCTTACTACTTGAGACACCGCCTCAGCCCAACCCAGATTCCTACACCCGGGACAGCTGCCGCCCTGGGTCTCAAGTCACGGTGGGCAGCGCATCTCCCGAACTAGATCTCGGGCTAAAACACACTTCCCGGGTCCCCGGTCGCCGCGGGGCAGGCGAGGAGGGCAGTTGCCCGCTCCCCCGTCCGCCCCGCACCCCGGCACATTCCGCAGCCCCCGCCCCGGGACTGTCCGCGCCTCCAGCCGGCCCCACCCCAGTCGCGGGCACGGCCGGCCGCGCGGCAGGTGAGGCTGGGCAGCGGGCCCGCGGAGGCTCACCTTGCTCAGGATCCCGCAGCGCTCCACAGGCGGCCCTGACTCCGTCTCTGGGTCCTCCTCGGAGCCCGACGAGTTCCAGCTCTGGTTATCCGACATGGAGGCGCGACAGGCGAGCAGGAGCCCGGCCCCCGCTCCGCGAGCTGCGCCGGGGGCGCCCGGTCCCGGGGGTGAAGGGTCGGGGGATGGCGAAGCCCAGAGCGCCCGCTCCGGGGCGGCAGCGAGCGGGAGGAGGGGCGAGGGCCGCCGCCGCCGCCGCGCCTGACACCGAGCGGACCGGGGAAGGAGGACGAGCGGCGAAGGAAGCCTGCCCTTCCAGCCGTCAGCCGCCGTCGCCGTGAACCCTGCGCTGCGCCCGCGCCGCCACCCGAACTCGGCCCCCTCGGTGCCAACCTCAAGTCGGGAAGGAAAAAGACAGGGAAAAGGGAAGAGAAAATTCAACTGCGGGAACCTGGGTCCACTCACACCTCCGCTACCGCCGCCATCTTCCAGCCTGGCCCACTATTTACCCTCCCCTCCCCTCTCTGTTCTCCTCCCCTTCGTCCTCCCCTTCCACCCCCTACACTCCGCCCCATCCAGTCCCCCGCCCGGCGTCTGACGCCACACGCCTGAGGCTGGGGATCCCCCCTCCCGCACCCTACCTCCGGCCCTCGCGGGGAACGACGGGTAGGAAAGTAGGCGGAGCGGACGCGGGAGGCGGTGGGATAGGAGCGCTGCTGAGCGGCATTCTGGGAAGAACGTGCGGCCTCCTGGGAGTTGTAGTCGCAGTCCTGGGTCGGTGGTGAGTGTCGGGCGCTGGGACGTCTAGTCCGGTGGTGGGTGGGCTTCATGTGACAGTTGCGTGTCTGTCCCACCCCTTGCTTTTGTCTCTGCCTAGTGTATTTATGAAAAACTCTCCTGGGGCTTGCGGGCTAGGGCAGGAGATAATCCTCCGGTGAGGATGTCAGGGTTGTGTTGCATGGCGGTTTTCCCGAACATCTTGGGGCTTGCCTGGGCAAAACTGTGCCGGCACTTTCGCCTAAACTACAGCCCGGGGGACGGGAGTGTGACCTGTCTAGTGACCAAGGGATTTCTTTCCCCGTACCCAGCAGTCTAAATCTCAATGGAGTTCATGGCTTGCGCTTTGAAAGCTAACCTCATGCTTGACGTTTCCCGCCTTTGAAGAATTTCTTCAGTCGCTCCTCACAAACACTTCACCTTGATAGGGGTCTAGAGTTAATTTTTAGAACATGTTTTTGCAGTTATTAGAATAAATGGCATTAGAAGAGTTTTGAATTAACATGAGAATGTCAGGCGATAGCCTAAGCTATCTATAAATGAGTAATCTTGAGACCCAGGTTAACCTTTCCTACCTATCTACTTACCCCTGAAAGACAGGAAGGGTTGCAATAGAACTATTTTAATCTATGAAAGAACAAAGTGCACTAGTTTTATTGGATAAAAGAGGAGTACGCAGGAGAAAGAATGGTGCAATTGGTGGAAAGATTATGTTTTTGCATGCATTGTAAAGATAACGTACTGAGACCTTTGATTTTTTTAGCTTCTTTCCTCTACTTCTATATCTTGTCGATTTTCTTATAATTGCTAACAGTAAAATTTCTTATTAAACCTTAGAGAAAAAATATTTGCTTGGTACCAGGATAGAAAGTTGAGGATATTTTGAAGTTGAGGGAAAAGGCACAGTGGCAGGAAATAATTGGTAGCAATGGAGAGAGGCCAACTTTACTGGGATCCTCTGGAAAATCAGGTGGGGAAGCATCTCTGAGCAGTATCTGTGATATCTTTCATTTTCCTAGATTGACACTCAAAAGATGCTAAATCTGCCGATCTGCATTTTCCCATTATGAAATCATAATACGTGCAGTTGAAAGCTAGTCAGATGAATAAAGCTTTGAGAGATAAAAGCTTTTGAAAATACTGTGTCAGCATGTTAAACATAATCTCAAGGTTGTCATTCAAAAAGAAAAAACCCTCAGCACATTTTTCTTTTTCATTGACTTACATAAAGTATGTCTTCAAAATGTTGAATTAAGCTTTATGTCACCTTGCTTTCTAAGATTAGTGTTCTTATTTCTAATTCTTTTAAGACTGGGTTTTAAACTAATTATGTGAACTATTGAGAAATTTACTTCACAGTGCAATTTAGAATCACAGGAATATAGTATAACTTTGTTTTTAAATTGAACTTTGTGGGCTGGTGAGATAGCTCAGTGGTCTAAAGCACCTGCTTAGGCAAGCTTAGGCAAAGCGCAGGGACCATGGTTTGATCCCTGGTACCACATGCTGTGCCAGCCGCCCCTAGGGCAGGCTGAGCCAGGCCACAATCCGAGCATGGTTATGCATGCCTGTAATCCCAGCGCTGGGGAGGCTGAAAGCAGGAGGATCACCACAAGTCCCAGGTGTGTAGTGAGACCCTGCAACAACCAAATACATAAAAATAAGTAAATTGAACTTTCTGTTGTATTTGATGTATTTTTTTTTTGTTTTTGTTTTTTTTTTTTTTT